TCTCCTTGCCGAAGAAACTGAATCTTTGCCCTGCACATCTCTCAACACCGAGCAAACCATCAGTAGTGCCCAAGTCTTAAGGGCGGTAAAAAATGGGGTGTCTACAGTTGCACAAGCTGCACTTGTGAACCGAGTGTTAGAAGCACAGAGGGGTGACCTTGAGGTAGAATCGCTCCGAGAGAAGATTTTCAGTGGGAAAGTACAAAAAGGCTTAACTATGTATCCCGACCAGAGTGTGAGATATTATGACCGTTTGTTCGTAGCGGAGTCTTGCCGAGAGGAAGTATTCTGAGAGTTTCACCATTCACGACTTGCGGTGCATCCGAGAGACACAAAGATGTATCACTACCTTAGTTCCCAGTTTTGGTGGAGGGGTATAAAGAAGGATGTAGTTGTGTTTGTATCGAAATGCCTTACTTGTCAACAAGTGAAGGCCAAGCATCAAAGGCTAGAGGGTTTATTGTAACCCTTGCCTAGAGCCGAGTGGAAGTAGGAGTATGTCATGATGGATTTTGTTATAGGCCTTTCGAGGACTCAATGAGATAGTGATGCCATTTGGGTAATAGTTAACCGGTTAACCAAGTCTGCGCACTTAATACCTATGCGCATGGGTGATTCGGTAGATTATCTTGCCGACCGATACATTAGGGACATAGTGAGGTTGCACAGGGTCCCTCTGACGATTGTTTCGAATAGAGATCCACGTTTCACAGCTCGGTTATGGCAGAGCTTACAGAGTGCCTTAGGCACTAGATTGACTTTTAGCACTGTGTACCACCCTCAGACTAACGGGCAGTCCGAGTGTACTATCAAGATCCTTAAGGATATGTTTCGAGGTTATATCCTTGACTTTTAGGGTTCGTGGGAGAGGCACTTGCTCTTAGTGGAGTTTGCCTATAACAATAGCTTTCAATCGAGTTTTGGCATGGCATCATTTAAGACCTTGTATGGCTGACCTTGTAGGTCTCTTGTGTGTTAGGCCAAAGTAGGTGATGCACCTTTGTTGGGTCTAGAGTTGGTTTGGGAAATGATGGAGAAAGTGGCACTTATCCATAAAAGGTTGGTTGCGGCTCAGAGTCGTTAAAAAAGTTATGCCGATCGTAGGAGAAGACCTTTGTCTTTTGAGGTAGGAGCTCATGTCTTTTTGAAGATATCACGAGGTGGGGATTGATGAGATTTGAGGTGGGAGATCATATCTTTTGAGGTGGGAGATCATGTCTCCTCAATTTATTGGGCCTTTTGAGATCCTTGAGCGGGTCAGAGAGGTTGCTTACCGTTTAGCATTGCCGCTACAACTCTCCAGGGTTCATGATGTGTTTTATATTAGCATGCTTCGAAAATATAAGCCAGATCCATTGCACGTGTTGGATTGGACCGACCTAGAGTATGAGGATGCCTCGTATGAGGAGACACCAATGAGAGTCTTGGATACTCGGGACCAAGTCTTACGAGACAAGACAATTCCCTTGGTTAAAGTATTATGGAAGCATCATAGGGCTAAAGAAGCAACTTGGGAACGGGAGTTAGAAGTCCGTGAGAAATATCCGAACCTATTAATTGATGTTTGAACATGAAATAAAATTTTGTTATATTGATAAAATATGAAACATTGTATATGTTTTAGGTATTTGAAAACATTGTATATCTCTTGGTTATGTATAAACATTGCATACGTTACTTATGATTTAGAAATGTAAGTTTATTATAAACATTGTCTATGTTTTGGGAAAATATGAATTATAAGTTCAATATCAAGAAATTATGTATCTTGTTGATGAAAATGAATAACCGGAGAGTGGATCATGATGGCAGAATTGATTAGTTATTACCATTGTAATTGGTTTAAGTATAACTGTAAAACTTGATTTGAAATTTCGGGAACGAAATTCTTTAAGGAGGGCAGGTTATAGCGACTCCGGTTTTGATCCAACCTTTGTTGTAATCTGGAATACGGGTTTCTTGGTTTCGTACTGTTGAACATGTCTTGTTTACCTTCTTTTCCCTTAAACTTGGCTTTGGGATTGTTATGGTTATGTTTGAAACAGGTTGGTTGCTTAATTTCCAAACTCTTGTTGTCCAAATTTTTGGTCTTCTGCTCGAGTGGCATTTCTTGCGCTTGAGCGGGCTTTGCGAACTCTCAGTACTTTTACAAGTCTGCAAAACTACTAGGCGAGTGTTTTCTACACTCGAACAGCGTTTCCTATGCTCGAGCGGCCTTATTTGCGCTCAAGCGTTGGTCTGTTGTCTACAAAACTACCTGGATATGTGTTTTCTACACTCGAGCGTCACTTCTTGCACTCGAGCGGTGAACGTCCTTTTCTTTGTGTCTTAGCGCTCGAGCGAAACAACTTATTGTGTCTGATGTTCGAACGTTACTTCTTGCGCTCGAGCAAATTGTGCGTATATCAGATCGCAAAAATGACTTTTTATATCACTTTTTCAGATTTATTTCAATATAAAACATGAAGTTGAGACCCTCTCTCTCTAAAACCTACATTCTCTCTACTTTTTCATGTAGATCTAGTGATTTCTCCATCATTGGGCCTTTGTTAAAAAGGTAGAGCACATCAATAACTACATTTTGATCAGAATCAACCTTGGTTTTGGCATCTTTGGATTTTCTCCACTTCTCCTTTGGTCTTCTAACTTCGAGGTAGAGATTTTTCTACACTTTCATATGGTTTTTAGCTTAGTTATTGGTTGGTGTGTAACAATGGTAGGATTTGGGAGTATGTTGGACAAACCTAGGGTTTAGGTTAAAAATCAAAAGAGGGGTTTCTATGTGAATATGATATAAAGGATTATGGGGTTGGAAAATGAGGTTGTTTTGTGACAAAATAGTTGATTTTGGCATTTGGGTGATATTTGGAGAAAGGGGGAAGTTTGCACTAAAATGTTGCAAATATTTATTTTGTATAAATAAATGAAATTGGTGTTGTAAAATGTGAAATGGAATGGCTGTGGACATAAATGGTGGAGAAGAATATGCATTATCTCTCACTTGTGAAATTTTAAATAAATTATCTATCTTAAGATTGATTATCTGTGTAGAAATATCTGTATTGGGCTATTGGTGGAAGATAGCTATGAGTGTTGTAAAAATTGTATGAGGATTAGGTGAATTGAAACTAATCTCTTGTTGATTGTCATTGAATATGACTATGTTTTAAATACATTATATATATATATATATATGATTATTTTGGAGAAGAAATAGGATGTACTCCATTATTTGAGAGGAGATAGGAGATGGACTATATTGAAATCAAGTTGGCATGTATGTCCAAAGTGAAAGTCCCGAAACTGCGCGTATACATGGGTGCCGATCCCGTGGACGAAATTTTTGTAAAAAAGCAAATTGAAGTGTTTGTATGATGGTTGAGTTATTTTGGGAACCACTGAGTTGTAATCTCAGATGGGTTGTCAGAAAGATAATAAAATTGGCTCATTAATTGAGATGAAATGAATTAACTTGAATTGACAAAAAAGAAAAAGAATTAAGATATGAACTTTGGTACTTTATGACTATACAGAATATGAATGTTTTACTACTGGCATTGTAAATGCGCATCATGCTTATATCTTCGCTAAATCTCATATATTGTGTTAAATTGTTTCTACTGGGCTTTGGCTCACCCTATTTGGGGAAAACTATTTTCAGTTGTTGGTGATATGCCTCCGTCAGGGCAATAGTTTGGAGGGACTTTGGGGCAAGAGCTTCCTTTTTGTTGTACATCCTTTTGTATAGCCAAGGGCTTTATTTGTATTAAGCTAGTTTCACTTTGTTGTAACCAAGTAACGACTTGGAAATATGTAAGCCTTTAGGTCATTTAAATGTCTGTTCAACTTTCATCTTTTGTCTACTTGTAGCACATGTTGTAGATTCAAGAAAGACTATTTATGAATGTATATTGCATGTGTTACCTTTTGTATATCAAACTCTGATGAATGAAAGTAAGTTAATTCAATTACATTTTCGCTTATGAGATGAGTTTGTTGTATTTATTTTTAGGGCGTTACAATTGCTATGCCTAATCGCTAAAGAAGGTTTAAGCTTTTTGGTTGCTCATGGGCAGCAGTAACATCTGTTTGTGAAACTGGATGCAACCAACTTTCAAGACTCCCATTTTCCATGAACTCATAAATTAGGGCTCTGAAATCATTACCACAAGCATTTACAATTTTCACAAGGTTTTGATGCCTGATGTTTCTCAAAGCTTTGCATTCTGCCATAAAACTTCATGAAGCTCCTCTGTTTTGTTGGTCAAGTACCTTCACTACAATTGTCTTTTCATTTGGATGAAGAATTCCTTTGTATACTGAACCAAAGCCTCCTGTACCAATCAAGTTGTCTGAAGAGAACCCATTCGTTGCTTTGAGGAGCTTTTCGTATGAGATATTCCGAGATGAATCCATCAAAAAAGATGCCACAAAAGATTGTTTTCTCATCCTTCTAAGAAAACAGAGGATTAAAATAGATGATGCCAAAATAATACCCAAAACCCCACAAACTATAGGAATAATTAACTTTCTTGCTTTTTTTGAAGCACATGATGGCAATTGTAGTGCAGGTATCCCCCACAAAGCTTGTTATTTCTGAAAATTGAAATTGCAGTTGCATTTTGGAACACTCCCCTATTGGTACCTCTCCCTCGAGATCATTGAAAGATAGGTTCAAATTCCTTAAAAAGGGAACGTTCTCAAAATATATTGGAATTTCACCCGAGAGGTTATTGTGTGAGAGACCTAATTCTTCAATGGCTTTTAGAGAACTCAAAGATTGTGGAATGGCTCCTTCTAATGAATTGTTGTCCAAAAAAAAGGTATTCCAAAGTATCACAACTACCAAGGCTGTTAGGAATTTTACCGTATAGCTTGTTATAACAAAGATTTAGTTCAACAAGAGTTTTCAAGCTACCAACTTCCAAAGGAATGGGACCAGTTAGAGAGTTTCGAGACAAGTACAGAGATTTTGATAAAGATGAGAGACCAACTACTTCTCAAGGTATGCTACCAGACAAATTGTTACCATAAAGATGCAGTAGTATCAAACCTCGGCAATTTCCAAGATTTGATGGTATGTTTCCCTGAAAATCATTTTCTTCTAACCAAAGCTGGTTCAACAAAATTGAATTTCCAATGGAGGAAGGGATTTCCCCAGACAATTTGTTTTTACCAAAGCCCAATTCTTGAAGCTTATAAAGTTTACCAATAGAGGTAGGAATAGTTCCTATGAATTGATTGTAGCTCATATCTAGAGCATTTACGCTTGCAAGATTTCCAATATCTGCTGGAATGTTTCCAGAGATCTGGTTGAATGACATTGATAAATACTGAAGTTTGGTTGAGAAATTGGCCAAGGAATTTGGCAAAACACCTTCAAAATTATTTTCTTGTAATTGCAACGCTCTCAATTTGCTACAGTTAGCTAAAGTGGAGATGAAATTAGGGTCATTGGCACCCCCACTTCTCAAACCATTCGTGAATAAACTTAACAATGAGAGATTCTGAAGGTTTCCAAAATTAACAGCCAATCCAGGAGAAAATTTGTTGATCGATAAGTCAAGGTATTCTAGTTTTGAAGCATTTGACAGTGAAAGCGAAATTGATCCATTGAACTAGTTTCCCCAAATATTAAGCCTTTTAATGTTGGGCAAAGTGAGGCCTAAATTTTGAGGAAGACTTCCTTCGAGTAGATTATCTGGTGTCTCCAAATGAACCAGTAATGAGATATTATAGATAGATGGAGGAATCATACCTTATAGCTGATTTGATGGGACTGCAACATATTTTATGCTTTTAAGACTGCCTAGTGAGTTTGGAATACTCCCCTCTAACTTATTATCATCTGCCCAGAAATCTACAAAAGAGGAAAGGTTCCCAGAAGAATGTGGGATTTCTCCTGTAAAATTGTTGGAGGTCATATAAAGTAACACCAATTGAGATAAGGAACCAAGCTCTTTAGGAAGATTTCCTATCAACCTGTTGTTGCTTATACTAAGGATCCTCAAACTATTGCAGTTTGAGAGGTTCGCTAGAATTTGTCCTTCCAACAGGTTACTGGTCAAGTTCAGAACTTGCAGCCTGAAAAGCCTTCCCATTTCATGAGGAATTTCACCCTGAAAGCTGTTGTTTGAGAGATTAACGATTCCAAGGAAACTAAGATTTCCAATAGAAGAAGATATAGAACTTGCCAAATTGGGCGACTCTAAACTCAATCCTATGACTCTTCGATGGCGACGACCACATAAAATATCTTCCCACCAAAAATGGAGAGAATCATTCCATGAGCTAGTGACTAGCATTGGATCATGAGTTATTTGAGCCTTAATGGAAAGCAAGGCTAAGTGATCAGTCTCATTTCCACGTAGCACGGTGGTGTGGGGGCAGCTGTAGTGACAGATGGCAACGCTATTTTGTGAGATACTTCATTCAACAAAGGCATGCACATGCATAGAAGAAGGATAGCAAAAGTGGAGACAAATGAAAGGAGCACCCTTAACAATTTAAACATGTTGACAACAAGATTCTAAGAATTTCTTAATAGTGCACTGACAAACTCAAGTGTATTGAGACACATCAAGAGATATTCTCAGATTTAACAATCAATACTTGCATTCGTGGAAGGATTTGCAATTTTTTAAATAGAAAGGGGATTTGTTCAAAGCCTCCTCATAATAAAATTTTAATATATTAAAGACAAGTATACAAAATTTTTCTTGAAAAGTCCAACACATATCATTATTATCAAAATATTAAACTTTAAAATAATACAACTTTTGATGTAGATATTGGTTTTTAATAAAATTAGTATTTTTAAAATTCTCTCATCAAGATCTATCAAATAAGAACCATGTTGACTATGAAATTCTGAAGAAAAAAAATATATATATTATTATTACCGTCAAAATTGATATAAATAGTAACAGTAACATGTTACTTTGTTTGTTTGACAGTAACATATAACATGTTACTGTGAATGTTACTCTGGTTCACAGTAACATATTACTCTAACAATATTGTCCAAGAAAAAATATATATATATTTTATGTTGTCCTTACTCAATTATGTATTTTTTCCTTAGGGTGTTTATGAAGAAAAATAAATTGAGCTGTCCTTTTTATCAAACAAGGATCTAATGGAGGGGTTTTGGCCAAATTCCCCTAAATGGAATTGATTAGAAGCCATTCCCTCTAAATCCTTGAGGCCATGTTTGTTTGGCCTCTTAGAAAAATGGATTGGATTAACAATCCGTGGGGCTCGTCAAAAACATGTTTGGTTGACCTAAAATGTTATTGGACTATTAGTCTAATTAGACTAATAATCCCTCCAAAGGGTGGGATTAACATATCCATTAGAGAGTTAAGATTGGTAATCTAGTTCCCTTGAATTAAAATATGTGTTTTTTTATTTTTTTTCAAATAATTTATTTGTGAAATAAATATTTAAAAAAAAATTATTACCAAAGATTAGGTGTATGATTTTTATTTATTTTTACTAAAAAAATATGATTTTTTTAATTTAATAAAATTTTAAATAATTTTAAGCAAAATATATATTTTTTTTAATAATTCCTATGCGTATAAATAAACATCTATATCTCCAACTTAATATCAATACACTAATAATTTTCTTATTCAATCCCACCGTAAACCAAACAAACGTGACCTAAAGTAATCCCACTATGCCGGGCTACTTCAAATATATGATAAAGACTTGCGATGGATTGCAGAGAAAATTACACACAAAAATATAAAGTTTAAATTCATTTAGATGTCCCATGTGGTCTCACCAAAATCATAATGAATATGGATCACAAATTATTATTACTATTTTCTTTTTATATATTTTTTAAAAGTTAGCACGTCAAAAAAAAAAAATACTCATTCATTCAATCATATGATATTTTCATTCAATACTATTTTATAAAGCCAAATAAACGTGATTGGAGTTATTTAAAATGATTTAAATAAATATATTTTTTAATTTTTTATAAAAAGATATAAAAAAAAATGATATAATCCAAAAAATAATAATAAGATAAAAAATATACTTATATAATATATACACCCTAAACAAAGCCTTAAAATCATCCAACTGTGCCGATCTATTTCAAATATATGTAAAGACTTCAAATTGATTGCACAGAAAAGTACACACAAAAATATGAAGCTTAAATTCATTTAGATGTCCCATCTGATCTCCACCATAATCACAATTGGAAAATCTAAAAATTTCTTAGATGTTGATTTGTGATTATATATCAATTTTAAGTAGTATATAACAATTCCAATCAAACAATCAAGACAAATTGATACAACGATTTTACGTGAAAAAATCACAATTGAACACCTCTAGTTATGATAAAAAAAAATCATAGGCAAAAGCCACAAAACAATCCACTAAAAAGACATAAAGGAATTACACAAGTATACTCTCAATTACCTAGCGAATCCACGCCCGAATTGAACCAACCCATATGTGCCTCTTTCAACCCCGTCTTCACCTTGGAATTGTCTTGACGATGAGCCACTCCAGAATCCACCAAAACTTCAGGCTCAAATTCTTCAGAATCCATCGAAAAACAACTCTCTCTTTTGTGTAGAACAAACAAATAATCCTTTGATGTATACTCTTTAAACCATGAGTTGAATACTCAATCAAAACATCAAAGAAAACCAGCAAAATATCTCCAGATATAAACCCTAGAACCCAAGAAGAAGATATGGAGAAGTAACCCTAGATTTAAAGCAACTTGCGAATTTATAGAATCTGAAATCGCAAGGTCCGCTCGAGCATGGGAATTGACGCTTGAGCGGGGACACTATATGACGTGTTTCAAACCAGGATGTACGCTCGAGCGGGGATTTCGATGCTCGAGCATGAAAACACAGATCACAGTATTTTTGCAGACGCACATACTTCTGGAACTCACCAATCTCCGCTCGAGCAGGGAAATGTCCGCTCGAGCGGACAAGAAACTTTGAATGCACTTTTGCATTTTGCTTCGGAGGCGCTGCCCCTCGACCCCGCCTGGGCGCTACCCCGGACCCGCCAAGAGGCGTTGCCCCCTGGACCTCCGCGAGCTGACCGGGCAGCTCGATCCCCATTATAATCAGCAAAGTGGCCATCTTGAAAGAATTAAACACCACAAACTTCTCTGCAAAACACGATTCGAGTTGGATTCGCATCTAATAAGCTCATAGCCTCACTGAAATAAAATTACGAAAATAAGTACAACTGAAAGGAGTTTTGTCAAACGGGATTGCCAAGAATAAAACCTAACAATCTCCCCATTTGGCAATGCCGTGACAAAACACACCTAAACAAATAAAATCCTAATCACCCCAACCCATTACAGCCAACAAATGCAAACTTCTTTCTCAAGGTCATGATCTGCAAAACAACTATTAGTCCACAATCTTCAAAACAACTATTAGTCCCACAAGAGTATATGAAAAAAATGTGGCTAGATTATCTTGAAGCATTTGAAGCATGAGATAAAAAAATGAAAAAATGGAAATTGGAGATTTTAAAAACATGTAACATGAAAACATGAAAACTAAGACACACGCACTCGACACATGAATGGATGAAATCACACTACACATGTGCATGAAAACATGAACAACAACTTTCTCCCCCTTTTTGTCACGAATTGAAAATGGAAGCTCAATCAACTAAAGCAAGATCATAAACTACACAATCAATGATATGATGATGTAAATATCAGGAGCATGCAAGAAGGAAATAATAAGCAAACAGTGCATAGCAACATGTAAAACAACTATAACCAATCTCCCTTACCAAATAAATCAAAGTGTACATGCTAACAATCTCTTGTAATGATAAACCAAACTCCCACTTACTAAAAACAATGAACAAGAAGAAAACGACAAAAAATAATATGGTGGAGCACGTAAGGAATTTCATATTTGTACCTTGAAACACACAAGATTATCCAAGAAGCACAATTACTTGAAAACACAATGTGTATAGCCTTTAGAAGATTCCTCATAAAAGAAAGCGATATATTATGTGAAAAGCATAGATCCCATGATAAAAGTGTGTGTGTGACTCTTGGAGTTCGACAAATACAAGATTCAAATCCTAGTAGTGATCTGATAACTGGACCTTCAGCAAGAGAATCTAAGCACAACAAAGGAAAGTCAAACCACTAGGAATCAAGGGATATTTGGTGAGTAATAGCAGAGGCTCCCCCTCAATCAATGAATCATTTTTTTTCCTCTTTTTCACATTTGTTTTTTTTTTTCTTTCTTTTTCACAATTTTTTTCTTTCTTTTGCACATTTTTTTCTTTCTTTTTCACATTTTTTTCTTTCTTTTGCACACTCATTGGCGGCTGATACTCTCAAGAGTATGGAAACCGAACCAGAGAAGCATGTATATAATAAGGATAGCCTGGTTGGTGACTCTGAGGTAGCCTTTTCCTTATGGCTGGAGTCCAAAGAACAGAGAGGAAAGCCGTGGAGATGCAAAACAATGGAAGGTGGTTAAGAAACTCAACATCACCCATGATATGCTAGTCTAGGTCAATTCCTCTAGAAAAGCAAAAGATATAATGCCAGAAGTCCATAGAGAAAAATGATCACTAAGGCAGAAGACTCCAAAATTTGCTAATCCAAGAGTGTGTACAAAATGAGACATACTAATCAAGGAACACACACTCCAAAATGAGTAATGACTACAGAAAGCACACACATATTAACAGGTAATGAATATTCTCATCAATTCTAATATGCACCAAGGACTACTCAAAAATTTCAAGCTTGCAAAATCATACAAGAAAATCTTCTTGGATTGTTTTTTTTTCTAAACAAAGCAAGGCAAAAAACGAACAGGCACACATTTAATGACTCAAAAATAATAATAAAAACACACAGAAACCAAAAAAACTAAAACGAATAAAAAAAAAAATTAACACAAGTCAAGTTTTCTTACCCAAACCGCTTTAGTATGAACAAAGTTATGAGAATGGTGGTTCTTGAGTGGTGTCTTGACATTGTGGTTCCCTTTCCTTTCAATGGGAACCTGTCTCGACATGGTTTCCAACTTCCTATTTCTAGGTCTAGGCAAATACAAACTTGCTCCATGTTTAGTCTCAAGCAAATCAAAATAACGAGGTCTAATATGACCCTTGACCTCATTACCACCAATGAAGTGTCTCCTACCCCACGAGATGTTGGAATTTCTTCCATCTCTATGAGACATTCTTCCATGTAACTCATAACAATAAGGGCGAATATGACTAGCCAAACCACAATGATGACAAATAAAAACAGGGT